GGTGGGGGAGGAAGCAGGAGCCGGGGTTCTGGGCTAGCTGCCCGCCTTAAAGGTTCCATTTGCACTTCCTCCCCGCTATCCCCCGCCCCCCGCCTCCCCTCCAATAATCAAGGCCAAACAAAACAACCAACCCGGCACGATCACCCACCTGACGGAGGCCACTTAAGCTCTGCGGGGCAGCTGTCCCTGGGCCGTGTCGAAGGCACAGGTCAGAGACCGCCAGCCGAGGACAGGCTGATAATCCTCACTGGGATCTGGCTTTAGCCCTGAAAGGGACCCGAAGAGGCATCTGGGCCCTAGGCCTCCACGTACTTATTAGCAAGAGGCCACCGGGCTGGGCGCTGGGGAGACGGGACAAAGTCCGGCCCCCTCCCGGTACCCCAAAGTGCCAGCGATCATATAGAGCGAATGGAAGTGGGGCTGCAGCACCAGGCCACCAGCTCTATCAGCATCAGGATAGAGGCAGACAGCTCCGGAGTTTCACCCACAGTCTCACAGCTACAACGTGCAAAGGGGCAGATTTTGAACTCAGGTCTGGCTGAAAACACATCCTTTATTCTTGAGGAAGCGGTCTCTTTCTCTAAGACTTCATGATTCTCTTATTTGCATCGGCCAGTGCTCCACGATTTCAGAGAAGGAATCCCCAAATGTTTCTTTCTCACCTGTAGCCTATGACAGAAAGTTGCTTAAGTGAAACTAGAGGGGTGCTGATGCCAGCTCATACTAACTTGGGAGAGCCTGTAGTTAAATTTTCACGGGGGCACATTTACACGTCGGAAATGGACAAGCACTGCAAACCAGCCTTTGAATTAGATTGTCATTGGTTTCTAGACTCAGGAAAGTGATAGAGAAAATATTCATAATGCTGATTTCAACATAAAAGTATATAATAGGTCCATTTTTTTTTTCAGAGAGCCAGTTGTTAAACATGTATTAGAACACCTTTGAGTACAACTTTTAAAACACACATTTTTTGGTGGGAGAGGGAGGAAGGAGACCTGTGATTTCCTGAGGGTAAGAATTGGACCCACCAAAGCCAATGGGCGCCCCTGGTGCCATGGGGACGCCAAGCTTAAATGCCCGAGGTAACAAGGCCAGTCTAGGTGTCCAGGTAAATATACTTTCAAATACAGGTCATTATTCTCCTAAAGTCAACTTTCCCATGAGACAGACATGCAACTTTCAGGGACAATAGGAAGAAGAAAACATCTCCAATACCAAGTACACAAGCAGGTAAGATAGAATCCACACTGAACCGGATTGGAGGAGCAGGAGTATATGCAGCATAGAAGACAGAACCACATGGGGGTGGGGGGGCCTCTGGACCAACACATAACACATACCACCTTCAGTCCAAACCATGGGGTTCTCACCAATATCTAACACCCTCAGCCAGGCGGGGCCTGGAATCGTATTCATTGGGAGCCCCCTTTCCCAAGGAAAAGACTGAGTGTTAGCTCTCCTCAGCCATCTTTCTGCTTATCTCTTAGAACTGTATTCACTGGACCAGCCACTTCCTCCCTTTGGACAAAAAAAAAAGGCAGTCAAATTTTTTGTTTGTTGTTCAGTTACGTCTGACTCAGTGACCCCTGGACCCCAGGACGCCAGGCCCTTCGGTCCTCCACTGGCTCCTGAAGTCTGTCCACACTTGTGCTCATTGCTTCCATGACACTCTCTGTCCATCTCTGCCGTCCCCTTCTCCTTTTGCTTTCAGTCTTGCCCACCATCAGGTCTTTCCCAATGAGTCCCATCTTCTTATTATGTGGCCAAAGGAGTTAAGCTTCAGCTTAACTTCAGTATTTGCCCTTCCAGTGAATAGCCTGAATTGATTTCTTGAAGCATTGACTGATTTGACCTTCTTGCTGTCCCAGGGACTCTCAGAAGTCTTCTCCAGGGGCAGCTAGGTGGTGCAGTAGATACAGCACCAGCCCTGGATTCAGGAGGACCTGAATTCAAATCCGGCCTCAGACACATAACACTTACTAGCTGTGTGACCCTGGGCAAGTCACTTAACCCCATTATCTAAAAAAAAAAAAAGTCTTCTCCAGCCCCACAATTCCACAATTTAAAAGCGTCGATTCTGTGGCACTCGGCTTTCCTTAGAGTCCAGCTCTCCCAGCCTACATTGCCGCTGGGAAGAGGCCACAGCTTTGACTCTACAGACCTTTATCAGCAAGGTGGTGTGTCTGCTTTGTAGTCTGCTGTTCAGATTTGCTATAGCTTTCCTTCCAAGGAGCAAGCATCTTTTAATTGCATGGCTAAGGTCACCATCTGCAGTGATCTTTGAACCCAAGATATAAAATCTGACACTGCTTCCATTTCTTCCCTATTTGCCAGGAAGTGATGGGACCAGCTGCCAGTTCACTTCAAACCAGAGAGATGCTTGGGAAAAAGCAATTCCAATAAATGGAGGTCAAGAGTGATTAAGTGAGGGCAGCTAGGTGGCACAGTGAATAGAGCACTGGCCCTGGAGTCAGAAGGACCTGAGTTCAAATTCTGCCTCAGACATATAACACTAGATGTGTGACTCTGAGCAAGTCACTTGACCCCAATTGCCTCACCAAAAAAAAAAAAAAGAAAAAGAAAAAAAGAGTAATTCAGTGAGCAAAAGAAGAGGCACACCCTCCAGCTATCTTCTTTGAATAAAGTGGATTCCCATGAATTCACTTTAATAAGATAGAGACAGACAAGGATGAGATTTGCCAACCCAGTCCTTCCCTTGGGAAATGAGGACATCCATTTTTGGACATGGCCAGCCTGGGACATGGTTTAGCTTGATTTTACACTTCTGTTGCAAGGGTTTTGTTTTTCCTTTCCAACTGATAAGTATGTGGAAGAGACCCCCTCTCCCCCCAAAGGAAAAGAGAAGAGAAGGCAAGCCAGAAGGAATCATAGACAAGCAGAACAGCTGGGAAAGTTACATGTTGAATTTTTAATACAGGGTGTCCCAAAAGTCTTAGTGTAGTTTTTTCAAAGTTTGTATCACTGTCTTTTGTTTTTTTAAATAGCACTACACTTTCCCCAGTATGCCAGAACACATGGACCTGGAGGAAAGTGTTTGGACAGTGCAGAGACAGAGGTGAAATGTAAAATGCTCTCAGACTTCATCATGCCTTGATATTTCAAGCACCGACCTCCCAGGACAATGGAACAGTAATTATACTGCTATGTATACTGCTGCTTCTCCAAGGTTTTTGTGTTCTGTCAGTATAAACCTTTTTGCCCTACTTTGTGTTTGGCATTTCTTTTATGAAGAGGAAATAAACATATTTCCTATGCTCTACTATCCACTGAATACCCTTCTCCTCCCTACCTTTGGAAGACTAGAAGTGAGTCAAGACCTAAGGAAGGAAACGAGCACTTAATAAGCACCTACTATGTGCCAGGCATTCTTGATGTACACTATCCATGGAGTGCCTTTCTCCTCCCCTCTTTAGGAGACTCCAGATGTGAGTCAAGACCTAAGGAAGGAAACAGGCATTTATTAAGCACCTACTATGTGCCAGGCACTGTGTGAGACACTTCACAAATGTCTCAGTTGACTCTCACAACAAGTCTGGGAGGTAAGTGCTATTATTATCCCCATTTAACAACGGAAGATCCTGAGGTTATAAGTGACTTGCCTAGGGCCACACAGCCAGTAAGTGGCTGAGGTCGAATTTGAACTTGGGTCTTCCTGATTCCAGGCTCAGTGCTCTATCCACTTCATCACCTAGCTGCTGCAGACATTTCAGCTTGAAGTCATTTCCCTGGAGTTATGGAATGGAGGTGTCAAGAGCCCAAGAAGGTCCCTTAGTAGGGAGGAAAAGGACTCAGCAACCAGGTCTGACTCCCTGCCCTCCAGCACCAGCACCTCCTCTTTTTGTCAGGACCCTAAAATGGAGAGGGTTCTGGTTGCTCTGAACGCCTCTTCAAGCAGACAAGCTTGGATGTTAACAAATAACAACTCATTTCTGATAGACTTCGGCTAATGCCCGCAGCAGTCTTCTCCAGTGGAAAAGGTCACTCTCAAAGAACAGAGCAACAGCGGGGGAGAGGCATGCTCCCAGTCTATCTTTGGGGAAAGGGGATTCTCAGGAATTCACTCAAGAAGGACAGAGACATTCCAAGCAAAAGGCTTCCAGGGAATTCATGTTCAACGGCTGACAGAGAGGGAGAGATGTGCACTTCCTGTCTTTCCCTTGGAAGAGGGGTTCAATTCAAAGGGGGAGACAGGAGGAAAGGAGAAAGAAGTGGTCAGGGAGTCTCTAGGTTACAGAGTGGAAAGACCACGCGGGGGGGGGGGTGCCGGGACTTGACTTGAGTTCAAATCCTGCTTCAGACACTTTCTTAGTTGTGTGATCTTGGCCAAATCACTTAGTCTTTCTCGGCTTCAGTTTTCCCATCAGTAAGATGGAGATAATAATAGCACCTTCTCCAAAGGATTGTTTTGAGGATCAAATAAGATAATATTTGTAAATCTTTAGATGAATGCCAGCTAAGATGGTGCTAGGCTGCCCTATGTGGGGAGGCACAGGTGCCTTTCTCTGTCTCTCTCTGGGAGTCTCTCTCCCCTCTGGATCTCTATCTCTCTCTCCCCCCCCCCCGCCCCGGTCTCTCGGTCTCGGTCTCCCCTCCCCCCCAGTTTGTGGGTCTCCGTCTCGGTATCTCTCACCCCACCCCCACCCAGTTTCTCGGTCCCTCTCTCTAGATGCTCAACGCCGCCCCCCCCAGTCCAACCCCGCGTCTCTGCCCCTACCCCCAAGAGAAGGAGGGGGCGGGCCTTCGATCGGTCTCCCACCCGGAGCAGGCCCGCAGGCTCCGCAGGCCCCGCAGGCCACGCCCCTCGGCGCTGCCCGGACTCGGTCTGGGCCCCGGGGCGGCTCCCACAGCGACCCCGGCGCTCCATTGGCCGCCGCTTGCGTCGCTCCGCTGCGCTCTCCGGATTGGTCGAGCCCTCGAGGGGCGGGCCTACGAGGAAGGCGGTGGTTGGCCGGCAGGGAAGCCCTATAGGGGCGCGGCACCGGTTTTGAAAGCGAGGCTGCTGGGAAGACTCGTGTAGCAAAGGTGCTCCCGACTCCGAGTCCTTCTGCTTCCCGGACGCGGCGACAGACCGGCGAGTTGCCATGGTAACCTCTCTCCCGGGGCCTAGCCCTTGGAGCCTTCCCCGGGCCCGGAGGAGGAGCCGATCGTGGGCCGGGCCGGGCCCGGCCCGGCCCCGCCCTGCCCAGGCGCCGGGAGCCTGGGTTCAAATCTTGCCTCCGGCCTTCGGCGCTGTATGTGCAGTGCGGGGAGGATCCTTTCCCTCCCGGGGCCTCGAGCCCCCTCCCCGCACCCCACCCCCTCAAAGAGAACGCTGGGCTCGGCGATCTCTCCAGGGCCTCCTGAGGACGCCGGGGCCCGAGAGCAGTTCCGGGGTGGGTGAGGGGCGGGGCAGTGCCGGGAGTGCCCAGGCGCGATCGCGTTCCTGATCCTGATCCCGGGCAGGGCGGGGCTGGTGGGCGAGGGATTTGGGTCCCTGCACGTGGAGAGCTCTGGAGGGCCTCGGTGCTTCCCGGAGAAGGGAGGGGCCCGAGGGTGGACCCGAGATGATCAAGCAGTCAGTCCCACAAGCATTTACTAATTGATGTATGTAATTGTGTTCTTTCCCCTTTCAGCAGTCTCCCAACAGCACCCTTGGGTACAGAGCTAGCTTTGCCGAAGAGGCAAAGGTCATTTCGGAGCAGCTGCAAGGTCATGGGGGAACAGATATATCTACCATAGAGGCCGAGCTCCCACCTCCCGACTTGACTTCTTCTGCTTCTTTTCTGGACCTACCAACCAGTAACCAGATCCAAGTGCAACCCAGTGACAGCCCACTTCCCCCCCCTGTTCTAGATCCTAAGCAGGAGCCTTCCTCAGCCCCCCCCAGTGACCAGGGCCTTCTGTTTCTCAAAGGGCTGCCAGCTTTGGAGGAGGCTGCCAGCCCTGACGATCCGGTCAGATGGCAGCTTAACGTGACCATGGAGCTCTGTAGCCTGTCCCCTGATGCTGTACAGGCTGGTGATCCCTGCTCCTTGGCCCCCCAGCCAAGCACTGAGCTCAATAAGACCTGTCTGCTTAGCTCAGGCACTCCCCTGGCTGAAGCAGCCCAGCCAGAATGCAGCCAGGCTCCAGATGACGGGGCCAGTGGGGAAGGGGCTCTGCTCAAAGTGCAGGACCTCTCAGACACGCCCATCAATAAGACTTTCTTGTTTAGCAGGGCTACCTTTGTGACCTCCACCCCACACGAAGCTTCGGAAGGGCTGAAGCTGCTCAAAGGGGCATCTCTTTTCTCCTTCCCAGAGAGCCCCCAAGCTCAGGAAGCACCCAGTGTGGCTGAGGCAGCCCAGCCCAGTGCCAGACGCCCCCAGAGGCCTCGAGTAGCCACAGGCAGCCCGCCTAAGGCCACCCCAAAAAGTGGCCCTTTGGGAAAGATGGGCCAGGAGAAAAGATCCCTGGGTGGGGCCTCTTTAGCTGTTTCCAGGAGGGGGCATCAGGCCCTTCCTTTGCCTGGGCAGAAAAGATGGTCAGCTGTCCCCTTCAGAACCTCTGGCTTGCCTGTCCTGTTCAAGTCCAGAAGGGAACCCTTGGCATCTCCAGGAGCTAGGCAGCAGAAAGGCAGGAGCAGTGAGGCGGGCAGGATGAAGGAAGCAGAGCCACCCGCCAAAGCAGGGAATAATCCGCCCTCGGCAGTCAAGGTGTCTCAAGTGAGTAGCTGCCCTGTCCTGTATCTGGCACTGCCTTGACACACTTACTTCCTAGGCATTTGTGTCCTTGAGGGGGAAGGTCAGCCTGTTGCACTGGTAGAGGAAATGCTTGTCAACTGACTGACAGGCTGGCCACTGAGAGGTGCCCGTGCACTTCACGCACAGTGCCTGGCGTTGTATCCATGCTTATTCCCCAAGCCAGTCACTGCGAGTTCATCAGGAAGGCCTAGACCTTTGGGCTCAGCTCTGCTCTGCCACATCAGGCCATGGCATTTACCCTCCCTGTAAGGACATCAGATCCTCCACTTCCCAGCTGGGTTAGGGGTACGTCAGGTGACTGAGGCAGGAGCAGTGGCTAAGGGACTGGGTCCTCACTGCCATCTGCCCTTCCCCTGTCAAGAGCCAGCAATCCAAGTAAGAACAGAATCGGTTAAACAATAGTGCTGATAGAGTGTGTGTGTGTGTGTGTGTATGTACACGTGCGCTTCAGCTCCTCCACAGCAAATCGGTGCCACCTCGCTTCTCCGTGCATCAGAGAGGTCCCAGTGCTCGGGACCCGAAATCCAGGGACCCTCAGGCAGCTCGAATTTTGAAGCCCTTGCCTTCGAACCAGGGCACCCAATCCAGAGTCCCGGCCAGGACAGGTAAGTCCTCTGAGCTCAGGAGTTTGGGAAGAGACAATTATAGAGGGAAAGCTTGGGCGCACAGTCACTCCCCAGGCTCTAGTCTCCTTCCCAGCGTTCACCGAACCAACTGAGCTTCCTTTAGTAACTAGGGCTATGAGCTGAGCAAGCTGGGGACTAGATGGTGAAGCTGCTGCTGGGTATGGAGAGCTCAGAGGAGAACCCCAGTCCTCATAGGGGCACCAAGTCCAAGTCTATTTAAGAGTGAGGCCCCACTGCAGCTTGGGGTGCATAATCAGTGCCTGTGCCCAGGCCTGCCTCTGCCTGCAGCCTCTAGTCTCTTGGCCACAGACTATTCTGAGGCCCCTTAAAGATAAGCAGAGCCTGAGCCCTGAGCATCTTGGGGTTGCCTGCCAGCAGGGTGGCAGCACTGATCCCACCAGCCCTCCCCTTGCCCAACATGATCCCACCTGGTTTTGTCCCCTTCTGTTGTAGATGAGCAGCCCCCCAAGCAGGACAGGAAGCCCCAGCCTTCTTCAGGACAGACATGCCCCCAGGTAAGGGAAGTCTGGCCTCCCAGCCAGAGGATCCCTCTCTTTAGACCTAGATTTCTCCTAATGGCAGCTTTGATGAAGGGTAGGGAGCCGGCCAGGCCCTGGGAAAGAGATGAGTCTTGTACACAGGCACATAGGGGACCTTTCTTTTCTTCAAGATGGAGCTTGGTATGACAGGCGACTAGATGGCATCCCAGATGGAGCCAGGCTTCAAATCTGCCCCACATAACTTACTAATCAAGTAACCCTGGACAAGGCAACCTGCCTGAGCCTTTGTTTCCTCATCTGTATAATGGGGATAACAACAGCAACTATTGTGAGGACTGAATAAGATGATGGAAGGGAAGCATTTTATAAGCCTTTGAAGCACCGTGCCCATTAGAGCTTAGTGTTATCCCGTCCCCTCCTTCTCCCCTTTCCCAAGGGAGACTAGCAGGATCCTTGTTCTCCTGGGTAGGGAGGGTGGCTGGTTTTGGTTAGGGCACAGCTGAAAAATTTGAACTCTTTCCTATGGTATCTGTTGGGACAGTGCCTTGTGCTGCAGAAGCAAGTGGAAGACCTCAAAAGCCAACTAGGTATGGAGGGCAGGGGCGGGCGGGCAGGGCAGCCCACTTGTCTCCAGCAGCCAATCCCCCAGCTTCTTCCTGGCAGAAGGCCAACGGCATGGAGTGGGAAAGGGGGGTATAGAGTGGGGGGTGGGGATGAGAAGTTAGAGCAGAGAGAGGCAAGCTAGCAAGAGGGCAGGCCTGCTGCTCCTTTCTCTCCCCCAAGCCTGTCCTTCACAATTCTTCCCAGGGTTCTGTAGCCTCATGAGTACCAGGAGAGATGAAATCGGGGATGAGGGCATTGGTCCTGGGGTGGCTGGGTAGACACACAGAGGTTTCGACTGTGGGCTAAAAGGTATCTGCTGTCCGGGGCCTAATGAATGCCCTTTTATTCCAGCTGCCATGCAGTGCCTTAGTGGGGAGCTCCAGGACCTTCGAGGTTAGTAGCCAGAGCCGAGGAAGGAGGCTGGCTGGGGGCTGGAGCAGCGTGGGAGGTATGGAGGCTCTCTGTGCTCATTTCTTCCTTCCTCTCTCCCTCGGCTCTGTTCGACTGACAGGCACAGCCCGGGATCCGTCCACAGCAAACACTGGGGGCACCACCTGAATGCCAGGCCCCAGACTCCGGGGCCCTCTTCTCCCAAAGCGGGCCCTAGCATGGAGTCTTTCCAGGTTCTTGTCTCCCTTCCTCCTCCCTTACCTCCATTCCCCACCCTAGGATGTTGGAGCTAACCACATGGGTGGAGGTCTCCCAGTTCTGATTGGAGGGCCGGTTGGGGCCAAGTTTTGTTGAGAGGCCTCATCATTGCAGGACATTAGCACAGTGACCTCCAGCTATTCTGAGTGGTTGTTCCATCCCCACTTGGGACTGTACTCCCCCACTTTAGGTGGAAATGCCAGGAGAGAGCTGGGTTCAAATCTCACATCTGATGCTTCACTGACTGTGTTACGTTGGGCAAGTCACTTCATCTCTGAGTTCCCTCATTTGTAAAATGAGGCTAATGATTTCTTCCTGTTTCGACCCCAGTTGTTGTAACACTCAGACGAGATGATCAAGCATCCTTATTAGGCTCTCCTGGCTTTTGTTCCAAAGGGCTTGGATGCCAGAGCATGCACACTGAGAGGAGGCATTTCCTGACTGGGAGTTCTCCAAGTGATTCTCATCACAGATGCCCCCCAAGTTGTACGGCATCCCCTCCTTCCAGACTCCCACTCCTCTTTCTGTTTCCTTTGAAGTGATTTTAAGTGCAGATGAAACTGAGGCCCAGGGGAAACCAAGTAACTTGCCCAACGTCACGCAGATCATAAGCGTCACAGGCTTTGAATGCAGGCTTTCCCACCTCAGAGCTGAGGGCTTTATGCTAGCCTAGGCAAGAATAATAAAGCATGGAGTAGTGGCAGTTTGAGTGGGAAAGGTGGGGGCAAGTCAGAAACATTGACTAGCTTGGATTTGGCCTGGGTTTGTTTGGGGAGGGGGGAGGGGGGTATCATGGTATTGATGCAGTTTGAGATGTCAGTGGGACCAGGGGAGAGTACCTGATAAGAATTGGGCAGTGTGAACGGTTCTGGAGGCCAGGACTCTCTCTGGCTGCTGGAGAGGCCCAGCTGATCCATATGAGGGCAAGGAAGTAGCCAGCGCTTCTGTCTTGTCTAAGGCGAGGCCTCTTTAGGGTTAGTCTGCTGCGTTGTTAAGTTTTTAGCAAGGTTCAGGCAAGGGGATGACATCCTTTTAGGTTAGGAAACGCAGGTCCAGCCAGATAGTGTTATCATTCAGTTTAAATCACACTTTCAAAATAGAAAGAGAAATTCACAGGTCACATACGGTCCTCTTCCTTGTGTATTGAAATGTTTGTGTTGTTGTTTTATGTTTAATAATAAAGAAAATATCAGAAAACTGATCTTTTTGGCATGTTTGTCCCTTTAAGCTGTTAGTCTAAGCCAGTGTGGGGCCCAGCAGAAGCAGCCCTGGTCCCTCCAGCCCGATCCTCCCCGTCCTATCTTGGTCGCCAGCTGCTGCCCTTCAAGAAGTCCTGTGCTTGAAGCCAAGGCTTGCCTTGTGGGCGCTCTCCTGGCGCCTGAAACCATTTTAATTAATACTAGAAATTCTTTGTTCTCAGTTCTGAGGCCTGCTTCTCTGGGTTGGGGACAGATCTATTGGGAAATGAAGTGATGGAAAAAAAATAATTTTTTTTTAATCCACAAAGTACCTGTCCTGAGTCCTCTTCTCCCCCTGCACCCATGGTGACCTCATCATCTCCCATCTCCCTCTGTGGCTGACACCAGGTCTAATTCACAGCCTCTGTGTCACACTGGAAGTCTTGCAGGCGTTTCAAAACCCAAACATTTTGCCCCCAAAACCCTCCCTTCTGCCCAACTGCCACCCCCCCCCCCCCCCCCGACCTCTCACCCAGGCTTGCCAGCCAGACTCTAACTACTTCCCACTCAGCATTTAGTTAGTTCGCTAGGCCTTACCCTCAGGGAGCTTCCATTTGAACTGGGGAAAACTCCACCTAAAAGCTGAGCTTTTGCCAGGAACTAGGCCTTGAGGCACTTCAGCTCCAGGGTCAGAATCCAAGGCGGGGGAGGGGGAGACAATGCCTGGGGGGCAGGCAGGTGGTGTGGGAAAGCTATGGGATGCGAGGGTGAAGGAGCTGGCAAGGTCACAGTGAGGGTGAACAGGAGGGAGGTGCCGAGAGAGCTGGCATTCCCCTGCCCATACCATAGTCTGCCACCCTCCTACACACAGCTGATGTGTGAGGCTCTGGGCTGGGTATTTTAGGTGAGAAGCTGCTGGCTCACTGGGTGGCATGTCTACTGGGAGCGACTTCCAAGGCTGGAGGACAAGAGGCACAGGGCATCACCTTAAGGCAACTAACGACAGAGTCCAGTGCCCCCTAGCACTTCCTACCACCCTCTCTCCCTCCCTCCCCTCCATTCTCCTCTCTCCTCCCTTCCTTCTTCCTTCCCTCCCTCTCTCCCCTCCACTCCTCCTCCCTTCCTCCCTCCCTCACTTCCCTCCATTCTCCTTCTCTCTCTTCCTCCTCTCAACCTCCATTCCTCCTCTTCCTTCCTTCCTCCCTCCCTCCCATATCCTTCCTAGCAGTCTTCGGGCTAATTCTAGAGAACCTTGAGTAGTTGAGATCAATAGTTTTCTACTCAGGTACACATAAGATACTTCAATTCACAACTGCCGCTAAGTGGTGCAACAGATAGAGCACTGTAGGCGAGAAGACCTGAATTACAGTTTTACTTCAGACACTTCCTAGCGGTGTGACCACAGGCAAGTCACTTCACCTGTTTTCCTGTTTCCTCAGCTGCAAAATGGGAATATTAATAGCCCCTATCTCCCAGGGTTGTGACGGTCCAATGAGATAATAACTGTAAAGTGCTTAGCACAGAGTCAGGTACACAGTAAACACTATATAAATGTTAACTGTTATTATTTTATCTTGGGTGAGCAGGTCAGCTTTGAATAGACCAGTCACAGGGAGGCCAGAGCAAGATCAGTCAATCGATCAACATTTATGAAGCACCTATTACGTGCCAGGCACTGTGCGAAGTGCTAGGGATACAAAAAGAGGTGAAAGGCAGTCAGTCCCTGCCCTCAACCAGGAGCTCACAATCTAATGGGGGAATCATGTGCAAATATATACAAAGCAAGCTCTAGGTGGGATAAGTATGAAGTAGAGCAGAGGGAAGGCTCTGGAATGAAGAGGGATTCAGGAAGGCTGCCAGTGGGAGGTAGGATTTTAGTTGGGCCAGAAAGTAAGCCGGGGAGGTCAGTAGTCCTGGTGGAAGAAGGGGGTCAGCCATCCCCAGAGGCTAGAGATGGTGGGTCTTGTGTATAGAACAGCCACGAGGAGGCCAGTGCCACTGGATTGAGTAGTCTAGGAATGAGGGGATGAGAATCTGCACCAGTGGGGTGGCAGTGTCACCGTGAGGGAGAGCTGCTACAAAGGTGCAAAGGACACCTTGGATATGGGGGGGCAAGAGTGAGGAGTCCAGGATGATGCCTAGGTTGTGAGCCTGGGGGACTGGGAAGATGGGGTGGGGCACAGTAATGGAGAAGGTGCGAGGGGTGGGGGGCGGCAAGGTTTCGAGGGAAAGATCACGAGCTCTGTTTTGGACATACTGAGTTTCAGGTGTCCACGGGACATTTAATTAGAGATATATGAATTGGAGTTGGAGATGAGAGACTTGAGGTCAGCAGAGAGCCTGGGGCAGGATGGGTAGATGTGAGAATCCTCAGCATAGAGACGGTAATAAGATCCATGGGAGCTGAGGAGATGGCCAAGTGAAGCAGTCTAGAGGGAGAAGGGAAGAGGCCTAGGACAGAGCCCTGAGGGCCACACCTACCGTTGGAGGAGGTGATGGGGGAGGATCCAGGATGCAAAGGAGACTGAGGAGCAGTCAGAGAGGAAGGAGGAGAACCAGGAGGGAGTGGGGTGTCCCGGAGAAGCGAGTATCAAAGAGGAGAGAGTGATGACCCGTATGAAAGGCCAGAGGAGAGGTCAAGGAGAAATAGCCATTGGATTTGGAAACCAAGAGATCATTTGTAACTTGCGAAAGAACAGTTGCAGTGGAATGAAAGGTCAGAAGCCAGATTGTAAGAACGTATGAAGTGAGTGGGAGGATAGGAAGTAGAGGCAGCTAATGTAGACGGCCTTTTGGAGTTTAGCCACACAGGACACCCACAGCTCATCAGTCTCCATTGGCACATCATTCCACCCCCACCGTCCTCGGCTCTGTAGGCCTCATCTAGGCAGCCTGGGTGGGGCTGAAAGGGGGTAGACACTTGGCCTGCAGTCAGGAAGACCTGAGTTTGACTCCTGGGCAAGTCACTCTGTGCCTCAGTTTCTCATCTATAAAAAGGGGGATAATAATAGCACCTATTGCCCAGGGTTGTTGTGAGAATCAAACGAAATAACATTTCGTAGCACGCTTTGCAAACCTGCAAGTCCTGTGTGAATACCACCTTTTGTTGTACAGAGGCACTAGAATGGGCTGGGGGCGGCTCCAGGCCGCCATGTTGTACCTGCGGCCAATCGCTTTCCCCTCTGGGGGCCTAAAGGTCCCTCTGGCTCTAGCCTTGTGCCATTCTGAGCTCAGAGAGGCCAAGGCCAGCTTCAGTGGCTGCCCACCAAACTCCCCATGAGCCAAGCTGCTGCGGGCCTTTCCTGCAAGAAATGTCAGACCTACCCACTAGCCAGCAGGGCTTTCACTCCAACCCTCAGTACTGAATGCAGACACAGAGGCCTCAAACAGCTCTCCTGAAGGGCCCTTCTTTTGAACAGGCTTACCTTCCAGGCCTAGATTGCCTTCCTTTCAGGTCTGGCAGGTGCCTCATGCCGATCTCTGTCTTCCTCAACTCTTCAGCCTCTCACCCTCACTTCTGAGTGGCTGCCAGGGTCTATGGATTTCACTTGGCAGCATCTCTCAAATCTGCCCCCCTTCTCTCCTCTGACCCTACCCCCACCCTGGTGCAGGCCCTCACACCTGGACCAGGGCAGTGGCTGCTGGGGGGGGGGGGGGGGCGGCGGGAATAGATCTGCCTGCCTCGAGTCTCTCCCTACTCCAGTCCATCCTCTAATAGACCACCAAAGTGATCTTCCCTCTGGTTATCTCCCTCTGCTGATCTGGGCTGCAAAAATGACTCCACTGGATTTCTCCTTGGATTTCCTGATCACTGCTTGGTCTAGTCTTTTTCCTTGATCTTTGTTAGTTATTGGAAAGAGCTGGGCTGCACCACTTCCTTCTACTCTGCCATCTTTGCCAGTCTCCCACGTCCCAAGGATAGGAGACACAGCTAGGAGATGCAGCACAGTGCATATAGTGGAGTAAGTGCTGGCCCTGGAGTCAGAAAGACCTGAGTTCAAATCCTGCCTTAGACACTTACTAGCTGTGTGACCCTGGGCAAGTTATTCAACCTCTGCCTCAGTTTCTTCTACTGTAAAATGACAAAGCTGGATTCAATGGCCTCTAAGGTCTCTTCTACCTCTGAAGCTGTGACCCCATGACCCTTCCAAGGGCCTGTGGTATGGCTATGAAGGAGGCTCTCTGCACCTAGCTGGGCTGGCCCTTGGAGGACAGATATCCCTAGGGCTACCCAGCCCCAACCTGAAAGCTTTGCCAGCTCAAGGGGACAGATGCCAGGACTCAACGGAGACACCAGGGGAGGACTTGAGGGGGACACCAAGGCCCTTCTGGCTCTCCCTATTGGAGATTTTAGCACCAGCATTTTCTCCTGCCTGACTAGGCTTAAGGAGGTTTTTTGCTGGCTTTCCATCAGAGAATAGCGCCACCTGGCTGAGGCCATTACAAGAAGCAAATATTCTCCATGCCAACATTGCCACCTCCCCAACCTCCAAGATGGTCAGTTTGGGTGCCCAGAATGCATCCAGTTGCTGAGATAATTAATTGGCTTTGGTGTTTCCCACTTCCCGTGTTTGCTTTCCTTTCCCTGCCAATATTATAACGTCATCACTTGAGATGGGAGTGTAAAAGAGCCCAGAGAGAGCCAATGCTCCTGGCACGGGTGAGCAGGACGAGGCTTGAGCAGGCCAAAGACACCCCAGCCTTTGATCACTTGGCATCTGGGGACTCTGGTCTCTGCCCACCTCCTGGAAAGCCTCAGGGCACACACCCCCCACCCCCCCTCCACCGGGCCTCAGAGCCCAGAAAGCACTTAGGATCCTAGAACATCAGAACTGGGAGGGACCTGTGAGATTAAACATCATCATCACGTAGAGGGGGAGACTCTGGCCTCCACCGTTTTCACCAGCTACCCCCAACACCTACAATGCGCTGCCCTCCTGTGTCTCCCTCCCTCTTGGCTTCCTTCAAGTCAACTAAAAACCCACCTTCTAGAGGAAGCCTTTCCCCATGACCCTTGATGCTAGGGCCTGCCCTCTGCTGATGACTTCCTTTTTATCTTGCAGGTGTGAGATCAGATTTGAACTCAAGAGAGATGAGTCTTCCTGACTCCAGGCCTGGTACTCTATCCACTGCACCATCTAGCATGATACTCAACTCCTAACAGTGAAGCGATGGACTCAAGATGTAGAATGAGACTTAACATTTTTTTGAACACAGCCAAATTTGTTATGAGAATTGTTTTTTTCTTAACCCTGTTTGCCTCAGTTTCCTCTTCTGTAAAACAAGAATCATAATAGCATCTATTTCACAGTTGTTGTGAAAAGCAAATCAGATTCTATTTATAAAGCACTTTACTTAGCACAGTGTAGACAGACACTAAATAATAAATCAATGCTTGTTGACCCTCAGGGCTACCTGATACCATGGGAAAGGATCCATTAGGGATACTGGGATTATGGCTCTTTCACCAAAGGCCGTGAAGGTGGCTGAAGCAGGCACTGTGGAGCCCTTAGACCTGGGTCTGACATCAAAGATGCCAAGGTCACTCCCTGCATTGGGGGCCATCAGCAGTCCTCCTGACTTCTGTCATGCCACTGGACTTCCAGTGACTCAGGAAGAGATGCTGCCTACTTTGTACAGCTCAGCCTCCTTTCAATCCAATTCACCTGCAAGTCAAGACACCCTGTGATGTGATCGGCCCTCTTCCAAACAAAGGACAAACAAAGCTTGTTTGTACAAAGCTGTTTGCAGACTATTTGCTCAAGGTCTCACTGCTAGAAAGTGGCCGACCAGATTAGAAGTCATCTCCAAAGCTTGTACTTTTCCTGCTCTGTCACACTCGGAACAGTGTGACACATAATTGCAAAGTGACATTCCCTCTGAAAACCAACTCTGGACCAGCCCCCGACAGTGATTCAGGTGTGGCTATCTTCCTCTTACTGCATTCTTCTCTGCAGCCCTTGTCTACACCTTACTCACCACTTGGGCCCTCTGCAGCCTCCTTGAAGAGCAGCCAGGCCTTTCTTTGACAAGAGGAAAGTGAACCCCAAGCCACGGATTCCTGACCACACCTCATCTGCTTGGGTGACCTCTGACAATTGAGGGACCAGCTCTCATGAGAACAAAAGCTCTAAGAACAGCTAATCCCCAGCTGGACCAAATGACTGCTGGGCTCCCAATCAAGACACAGCTGATCCTAATCTCACAAAAGTGACTTCGTAAAGCCCTTCCATCACCTCTACCCACCCCCCCCCCCACTCCCCAGGGACATCTGTATTTTCTATAGGGAAGATGAGCACAGAAAGGTGCTGTGACCTAGATGCACCCCAAGTTTAATCTGGCCTCATCAGCTGCATCATTTCCCACCAATCGGCCTCAAGTGTAGAATAGGGACAATAGCTAGCTGCTGGGAGGATCCTATTTGTAAACAGCTCTTAGCAAAGTACCTGGCACACAGTAGGGCCAGTACTTAAATGCTTGTTCCCATTCTGTTTGCAGAGCAGAACTTGAGGCCAGATCTTCAGGATGAGGCCTGGCAGGTGGAAAGCACCGCCACCTGGTACCAGGAAAGGCTTCTCTTCCGTAGGACAGCAGCGGAAGACTCTAGGAGAGGGGCCCAGGTGAGAAACGCAAAGAAAGATGTTCCAAAGGTGGGGAGCATGGCACATTTGTTGACACCAGAGGATCCAACAGGAAGCCCAAGAGTTGGCCTCGGCAAGGTTGGCTGAAGACAAATGGACAGGGGAAAGGCTGGAAGTCAGTTGCCAGGGTACTCATTCTAGCCCGCCTTTGGGACTGCAGCCCACTAGGGCCAGCATGGACCAAGAGCTCCTTGGGAAGGCCTCTCCTTGGGAGCTTTCTTCAGACCCTTCCTCTCCACTTTGGCTTCGGACTCACATAAACCTTCCTCATTTCCATCTATGCTGTATCAGCAGGCCTGAGGGTGACTTCCAGGAGGCCCCTCCACAGCTCACCAAAGGCCTCTAACCCTAATTCCAAATCAATGCCACCTCTCAGCTACCTGGCTGGTAGAGGAGGCGTGGTGGAAGCTAGACCAGCTGGGGCTCTGAGCTAAACTGTGCCATGGGAGAAAATCACAGGCTTTGCCCAACTCCCCAAGGATACCTCAAATCTGGCCCCACTCCCTGCAGCCTGGATGTAGCCACCAGATGATACCCATCCAGTGAGGTGAGTGGGGCTCCTCTCCCCTGAGAGGCAGTCACCCACCCCTGGCTGCTGGCTCCTTTCGCATCCTGGAGGAAGGGGGCAAAAATGAAAACAGACCAGGAGAAGAAACACTTTGTAAGAGCTTCATTTGGTCAGAGGAAACCACACGGTAATGTGGCAATATTCACCCACTGCACTGTTTGGCTGCCAACCTCTTGTCTGTCTCTTCAGCAAGGGTGAGGCGGATGCCCTTGCCTCGGGGCAGAGAAATCCAAGGCTTGTTACCCTGCACTGGAAAAGGCAGGAGTCAGAACACCACGAAGCCCCCCCAGCCCAGACCCAGATGGCATCCAGCAGATGCCCTGCAGGAGGAGAGCTGGTGAGGATGCACGGCCACACCCGAGACCCACTGGAGACCTGAGCAGGTTGGCTCTGCAGAGCAGCTCCAGGGGCTGAGACGCCTCAAGTGTGTCCATAAGAGCCAAGGCAGCCTTCGGAGCCATTCAATCAAAGGGAAGGAGCACAAACTCAAGAGGCTTAACCACGTCTGCCAAAAGACTGGCCCCTCTACAGCCAAGATCCCCCTGGGCACCACTGCAGCCCCAAGGCTCGGCACGTTTTCTTCTGACTCCGGCCTCTCCGTGCAGGGCCCTGGCCCTTCTCTCCCCAAGCTAGAGGGAAAAGGGCAGCCTGGACTTACTTTGCCAACAATGAAAATGTTGGAAAGCCTGGTGGCAAAGCTGTCGCCGCTGGCATCCTTCACGTGGACCACATCACCCTGTTGGTGAGCACACCAATTCGACCCAAGTTAGCGCCGCCAGTCACCATGCACAGATTCCCTGGGCAGAAAGGACAACGACAGGGGCTGCCTGGATGAGGAGAATGGGGGGGACACCCCTACGGCAGAGGAAAGGCTCCTCTGACCTCCAAGGCCAAAACACCTTGACACCAGAGCCTTTCTCGGGCTGACCTGAAGGTCAGAGATAGGAAAGGTATAGATTTGAAGTCCAACGTCTCACATTTCCCCCCTCGAGGCTTGGGAACTCTGGAGTCACCGTTTCCTTGGCTGCTGCCCTAATCTGCATTAGGGCCCACTGACTGGCAACTCTGCCCAATAGCTGCTCTTAATTCACTTCGATGTCCAAGAATGTTGTCTATCAACGTCACGAACCCCCAAAGAGCTGGGCGATAAGCTCCAACACATGTGGGCACATGCCAGTATCAAACTTCATGAAATCTGTGATAAGCCGATCTGGATAGTGGATGGTGCGGGCATCGTGGGTCACCAGGTGAGGAATGGCCTTGGTGCCCACAAAGGTCTTCCTCACTTTGCACAGCTTATACTGTGAACATATGAAGAACAGCCATTTGAGGATCAGCTGTGTGCTGACGCTAGACTTGGCATCCCACTTTTGAGTTTGGGACCAAGCATGGCCAGGCCCTCCCAGTCTGGTCTACGAGGCCCAAGAACATGGCAGAGGGGAGGGCCCCTGGACCTTAAGGTGCAGGGGATGAACAGTGCCAGGGATAAACATGCCTCCTCTAAATCAGAGTGTGCCACACTCCCCTTCCACCACCACCATTGAAACCCAGGGCCAGGGCCACCTTCATTTACAGAAATCAAACTCATGCTTTAAATCTGCACCTAACCCCCACCCACCCCCACCCAGGGCACACAGATGCTCAATTCAAATCTGATCTCCAGCTTTGGTTCCCAATGTCCACCTTTCCCCCATCTCTACTTGCTACCTATCAAGCTATTTCCACTTGGCTATATATGCATCATCTCACACCTGGATTACAGATAGGAAGTCTGCCTTTCCCACTAAGGGGTTTGGGGATGAGTGGGCCCTCGTGGGCAGCTCACACTCACCTTTGCCTCCTCAGCTGTGATTCGAAGAACAGCAAAGCGGCCCTTGGTGTCATACACCAGACGGAAATATTCGCCAGTCTTTTCGATGCTGATGACATCTGATTTCAACCAGTTGTAACAATTAAAGGTAGTACTGGGAGTCCTCTCCAAGAAGAAGAGGGGATGGGCCTTATTTAGGGCAGCACGCCAGGGGCAGAAACAAAGTGGTGGGAGGCAGAGCAAGGACTGCAGGCCGGCTGGGCTAAGACTCCTGAAGCACAGGGCAAGCTTCCCCTCTCAATACAAAGTCAGGTGTGGCCCCTGCCCATGCCCACCTCCGGTTACCATCCACTCACCCATGAAGCCGACAGCGTAGGTCGTGTCCGTGCATCTTGCCAATCTTAATAAACTGCTGCATGCAGATCTTCTTAACCTCATCCCCTGTCAGGGCATACCTGAGCCGGTTGCGGAGGAAGATGATGAGTGGGAGGCACTCTCTCAGCTTGTGGGGGCCTGTGGATGGTCTGGGAGCCTAGGGAGTAGAGGTCACCTTTTAGTCCCATAAAGTCTTGGTGAAGTAAAAATCTTTAATAGTTTAAAACTGCACTGTCTACATCACCTACCAAGTGCTGGGCTGCACACAGGGATCACTTATGTCAATGCGTACTGAGCAATGTTGACCTGGGTGGGGCGGGAGTACCAAGAGTGACTTGAAGCCAGGTGTTCCTGAAGCCAAAGCTAGCCTCTGCTAACAAGGCCCACAAAACGTTCTCCACACTGGAGATGATGAAGGCAACCCCCAATTCAAATAGTGCTTTCCCCTCTTTTGTGACCCTTCCCCCATAACTGGGGCCAATGAGAATTCCAAAGAAAGCTGTCAGAGGGTGCTGCCCTACTCCCTGCTGGCAAAATGACCAACGTGGAGGATCTGGGAGCAGCAACGTTAGGGCAGGAAGAAAAGTAGCAAAATACCCCCTTGACCCAAATTTCTTTGTCTAGAATTTACTTTCTCTCCACATTTAGAACAAAAAGCTTTCTGTTCCAAGCTTTCCCAGGATCAATGAACAGTGGGAGGATGGCCACCCCAATTACGGTACATTCAGGGAACATTCTGGGCAGGATGGCATGGGCAAAAAAAGCAGAACAGAGTGAACACTAGTGATGGCCCACACAAGAGGAAAGTGACTGGGAACCCTTGGAGAGGGAGCCTACAGAGCGATGTTTCCCAAATTTCCTCGTTTACCCCCAAACAGCTACAACTTTCGTGGGCTCTCAGCACGCCTACAGGCTTCCATTTCTAATAAATAACTGGTCTCCTGAAGAAGATCCAAGACATTCACTTTCTCTTTTTCCTCTTTGGAGAAAAGGTGGCCCCATCAACCAACCCCCCAGCCCTACTGGAGGGCCTTCATCTGGGGCTGGGGCCACCTTCGAGGGCAGAAGGAGGAATGCAGGCTGAACGGAGCATCAGTCTGATGTGCAGGCCAAGTGGGGGGATGGAGGTCGGCTCAGCCACCTGCTTCAAAGAACCCACATCTCAACCTTCACACTATTCAAATGTGCACACAGCACCTTCCCTGCCTGCGCCTCAGTTTCTTCCTCTCTAAGGTGACAGACTTGCTCACTTTTTTTTTTTTGGCTTTGCCTTTATGACTCTGACTAGGACGTTTGAGACATATTAAGTGACTTGCCCAAGGTCACCCCGCTGCCCCGCCCCCTCATCCTTTACGTCCTCCAGCGGTGGCTGGGTGCCCCTGTGTGGTCACCTCACGGTTCCGGGAAGGGTCCTCCCTCACCCCCCTGGGAGCCATCCTGTGACCCTGATCGAGGCAGGCAGCTCCGCCAGGGGCTTACTCACAAAGACGCCGGTCAGCTTGTCCAGCATCCAGTGCTTGGGGGCGGCGACGCGCTTCAGATGCTTCTTAGGTCCACGAGCCTGCGGACAGACGGCAGGGGGTCAGCTGGGATCGGGGGCCCAGGGGCTCCCCCGCCCCGCCCCCGGCGGCCTCAACCCCCGGAGGGAGATCCGAAAGGGAGTGCGGGGCCGGACGAAGGAGTCCCGAGCGGCCTCCACCCTCCGGCCCCGCTGCCCCTCCCCAGCCCGGGAGGCGCCCCGGCGGCTCTGGGACCTCGCCAGCCCCGAGGATGGAGGCCGATTGGAGATGGGCCGGAGCCGGAGGAGGGAGACTCACCACAGCTGCTACGAGCCGAGGAAAGGGCGCGCAGCTTCCGGTGAGCCAAGGAAATAGGCGAGGGCTGGGGCGCGCCAAGGCCCGCCCCTTCCGGCGGCCGGCAGGCAGTAGGCACACCACTATGCTGCCCTCTGCTGTCCGCAGGCCGCCAGGCGTCCGGCCGACGCGCTGGGCGGGGCCACGGCGCCTTCTGGAACGCCGGCCCCCGAGGCCCCGCCCCCCTGGGGGCGTCTGCCTGCACCCAGGCCCCCGCCCGCTCCGCCCCCATCGGCAGGCCTGGGAAGAGCTGTCTCCTTCCCGAGAGCGCTCATCTTCGCAGCTTGGGGACCTTTGCCGTAGACTGCGCTACGGGGCCTCCCTCTCCTATGGGAGCCTCATCCTGCTTCCCCCCAGCCCCGAGTGCTGGCGAATGAGTAAACTCATCATGTTCCCACCATCCGTACCCCAGCCCAAGCATGCACCTGAATTTCTCTAACGTGGGAGTCACAGCCTTGTCCCCAAGGGAGGAGGACTTAGGGAGAACGCCTGATCTGCATTTCACCTGCTCCTCTGGGAATGGGGCAGGAGGCTGCATGATCTGGAGAATAAATCGGGCCTCTTCTGGCCGGGGTCTTGCAGCATCTATGGCTATGTAGGAATTCGAACTCAAGGCAGGTCAAGGAGTGGACACAAATGGGAAGACCCATTGAAGATGGAAGAGGCAGAAGGGAAGAGCTGTCATGGGGACTTCAGGCCTCCTTATGGCTCGGTTCAAAGCTTAGCCAGGGAACCAGGCACCAGCTGTTTGGGCTTACAAACAATCCTTTGGGTCTGAGATTCTAGGATTTAAGGCTGCAAGAGAGGGGGCCTTCCTGTCCACCCCCCTTATGTAGAGATGCTGTGGAAACTGAGGCTTAGAAAGATCAGGTGACTTGGTCACTCAGTCTCAAAACCAGTGTCTGAGGTGGGATTTGCACTCAGCTCTTGGTGACTCCCAAATCTGGTGCCCAGCACTGTGTTCTGCTAGGTCTTCTAGTCCAATCCGCAGCCTCTTTCCAGAGGAGGACACCAAGGTTGAGCGACTTAACTGAGGCAGTCGTGGCCTAGGCCTGATTTAAGCCCAGGTCTTTGCCACAAACCAGTGTACTTTCTGCTGCCCACAGTTGGATGCCCCCATCCCCTTCTTAGCCATCCACATCCCAGACTGCTCCATGCCTTCCCCCTCCCCCCCAAATCCAGGGCTCCCCAAGATACAGATGTGAGGACCCTTTGAGAGAGTTGGCTAGCAAGAGCTCTGTCCCCGCAGCCATGCCACTGGGGCAAAACCTTTTTATTGGTATTTACAAGAGATCACAGGGCACAAGAGCTTACAAGGGAGCCAGCTAAGCTGGGGCCCACTTCCCTCCCCCCACCCCCCCTACCCCTAGAGTGTGCGTGACTCCCCCTTTTCCCCCTGGGGTGCATATGGCCTTAGCTGGGGGGCAAGTCTGTTACGAAGTCAAACTCATCCTGGCCCAGCCAGAGCTCAGGCAGCTCACCAGCTTGGTCCAAACCCAGCTCTACCACCAGGGACATGAGCACCTCCTCATCTACGAGGTCCAAATCAATGAGAATGGAGTCATTGGCCTCAGTGGAGGCAGTCTGTGACTCCTCGGGCTGACTACCCCCCACAGGAAAGGTTGGAGTGGGTGTTTCCTCCTCTGGAGGTTCTGTGCCAGATACCTCCTGGTACTGGCTATTAAGTTTCTGTAGCTGCATGCTGGCCAGTAAGGGGGACTGTGTGTGCAAGGTGATGAGGGATGTCTGTGAGGAAGAGGACACTGCAGGTGAGTCTGGGAGTCCCGATGAGGTCAAACAGGGTACCTCAGGGGCGCTGTTCCCATTCATGCCCTCCCCAGAGTACTGAAGAAGGGTCTCAGCTGTCCGCTCTTTTATACCTGGCTTTGGACAGACCAGAGAGCTCATCTCTTGAATCCGGAACCCTAGAAGACAGAAAAAAGAACTTGGGAACACATCTACTCTGGCCTTCCTCTAGTTAAACCCTAGCAGGCTTGGGGATGGGTTGTTTCTGGGCTCTGTGTCTACACCCAGGTCCTATGGTGGGGCTGCCTCATTCACATACCCCCCAAGACCCCCCACTGTCATCAACTTCTTTCCCCTGTCTAGGACCTGCCAGGAAGTCCTTGAGGTTTGACTAAGCTGTTCACCCTAGCAATGCTCTTCACCCAATAGTGGACTGAGGAAGAGGCCTTCTAGTGGGACCCCTTCCTGTTACAGGGAAGGAAAGCGAGGCCTTAACTTACCTGTTTGCAGCCCAGTACTCTCATCAGCATGTGATGGGTTACTGGAGGGGCCAGCCTGGCAGTGGTTTCCTGCAAAGAGGAACTAGTCCAATAAAAGGAATTTTCAAAGTGCAACTTGATTCAACTATCTTTGTTAAGTACCTACTGCGTGCCAGGCACTCTGTGAGTGGTGGAACAGTTGCAACCCTTAAAGAGAACCCCTTCTACCGGGGTAAAACAACACGTGTGTAGACAGCTAAATGCAAAATCTGTGTACAAAGGGACTTCTGGGAGATGGAGATGGGCCGAGCAACCAGAGGACTAAAGAGAAGTGTCCTGTAGTTCCACCGTGGACTAAGCTTGGAAGGAAGGTAGGTCAAAGTGAGGGGAGAGGGCATTGCAGGCAAAGGTGCGGAGGTAAGGAAATGGGACATCTCATGTGGGGAACAGCTGGGCTGGAATGTAGAGTGCAGGAAAGAGAAGATGACTGGAGTGAGGCTGTCAAGTCAACAAGCATTTATTAATCACCTACTGTGTGCCAGGCACTGTACTAAAGCCTTGGGCTACAAAAAAGGGCAAAAGCCAGCCCCTGCCCTCAAGGAGCTCCCAGGCTAATGGTGGAGACCACAGACAGGCTTGAGAGAATGCAGTGGGAAAAATAAATGGGGGAAGGAAGATGCTAGCATTAGAGGGGCTTAGGGACGCTTTCCTGGAGGAAGAGAGATTTTAGCTGGGACATGTAGGAAGTCAGAGAAGTCAGTAGGTAGACTGAGGGCAGGGGGTGGCCCAAAAACCCAGAGAGAAGAGAGGATCTGGGATAAGGGGGTGATTGACAGCGATGTCAAGGAAGAGAACTAAGACAAAATACATTGGATTTGGCAGTCAAGAGATCATTGGGAACTTTGGAGAGAGCAGTTTGGCTGCAATGATGAGGGTGGAAGGCAGACCCCAGAAAACAAGCCATAAAAGGGAGGAGACGTAGGGATGTTTGGAGGCAGCAGGGAAGCAGTAGACGGGGAGAGACTGAGGCCATCTCATTGTGGGAGACACATGGGAGGAAGGCACTTGAGAAATGGGAGATGAGGAAGAGGGCAGAAGAGGGAGCTCAGGCCAATGGCCTCCACTTGGCTGTAAACTATGAGAAGAGGTTCTCAGCTGAGGGGGTGGGGGTAGCTGTGGGAGATTCGAAGAAGGAGGAAAACCTTTGGAGGAGCTGTTGTGCAGTCACTTAGGACTGTGTTAGGAGATTGCCTTGCCCCAGTGAGGGCCCAGCTGAGATTCTGTCCCTCCCTTTCTCTGCCCATCTACTCCTGGCCCAGCAGCCTTCCTCCTCACTGCCCAAATGAATGAAAATGCCCTTATTAAGGGCTATCTGTTCTGCCTTCTTATGTCCCTCCCCCTCCCCTGCCCAGCTCTCCCCTCTCCCTCCCCCACCCTGGTGGAGACAGACCTGCCAACTGCCCCTGCAGCTGCTGCAGACCCCAGCCCCCCTGCCCCCCGACCTGGCCCCCTCTGCAGTCATGAAATGGAAACTTCTCACTGCCAGGGCCTTGGTTCAGTATCAGAAACAGATAAGAGTTTTACTGATGACTAAAGATGCATGGCCACTGTCTGTGCTCCGGCCCCTCCAGGCCCTTGGCCCTCTCTGTCTACACTGCAGCTGAGCCCCCTAACAGAGCAAAGGGCTGCCTCGCTTCTCTCTTTCCATCCCCAGAATTTGACACATAGTAAATTCTTCATCGCTGCTTTTTCCTTCTTTCAGTCCTTGCGGGGCTGATGCCCAGCTTGGGAGGGGGTAAGGTAATACAAGTTCTCTGTCTGGTTTTTATGGCCCCTCAGTCTGGCTGCTGTGTTCTGCCTCACGCTGTACCCCACCCCCACAACTTCCAACTGAATTGTTCCCATCCTGTCTCCAGACCTTTGTCCAGGCTGTCCTTCATGTCTGGAACATGCTGCTTCCTTCCTGACCTCTACCCTTCTTTCTTCAAGAGTTTTTGTATTTCCAGGGCAGTTAGGTGGCGCAGTGGGTAGAGCACCGGCCCTGAAGTCAGGAGCACCTGAGTTGAAATCCAGCCTCAGACCAAACACTTGACACTTACTAGCTGTGTGACCCTGGGCAAGTCACTTAACCCCAACTGCCTAAAAATAAAAAAAAATTTTTAAAAAAGAGTTTTTGTATTTCCTCAAGGTTCAGCTCAGGTGCCCCTCTTCCTTGAAGCCTTCCCAGATTTCTCCAGTTGTTGGTATTCTCTCCTTCCTCCAGTTCCCTCATATTTCTTTATCCATGGACTTGCTGTAAACTCTGTACAGCCCCCCCACCCCACCATGGTGAAGTGGAGTCTGGAAGACCTAGGTTCAAATCTTACCTCCGAGACTTCCTCGGGTGAGTCACTCAGTCCCTCTGAGCCTCAGTTTCCTCTGTAAAAAGAGGTAACAACTCCTAGGGCTGCTAGGAGGCTCCACTGATATCGTCCATGGAAAATTGCTCTCTGATGCCAAGCAGCGAGGGGGCTAACATGCATGCTCTATTTTTTTTTTTGGTGAGGCAGTTGGGGTTAAGTGACTTGTCCAGAGTCACATAGCTAGTGAGTGTTATGTGTCTGAGGTCAGATTTGAACTCAGGACCTCCTGACTCTGGGGCCGGTGCTTTATCCACTGTGCCACCTAGCTGCCCCCATGCTCTACTTTTTGCTCAAGCTTAAGCACTGAGAGAAATATGCTTGAGAGAAGAGCTTGGCTCATGGGGCATTGAGGCCAAGGGACCTTGAGGAGATTGTAAGCCCTTTGCCTCAAGGGCCCAGGTATGGGGCTCTGCACTAGACTTCTATCTTTCTCCTGACTTCTCTTTCCCATCTCCCATCCAGGAGGCCCCAGGGGGAGCCAAGAAACCTGGTATGAAGGCAAGGCTCTGCCAGTGGATGGTAAGTTCTGGGGAGCCTGGGGAGCCAAGATGAAAACTGACTAGTCCTTGCTTCAACACTCACTCAGCATCCCTTTAGGGCCACCCAGTCTACCTACCCTGTCATTTGACAGAGAGGGAAATGGAGGTGGAAGGGTCACATCCCTAGCAAGAGTCCCTGGTGGGATTTGAACACAGATTTCCCTGATTCTAACCTCAAACAACTCCTAGTGGCTGTCCCCCATTGTTAGGATCAGAGGTGATCAGGGAGGCTTCAAGGAGGCAGTCTTGAAGGAAGGCTTGCAACAGTCAAAGGTGAGGCTGGGTTGCATGCTGGGCACTGGGATTTGGGATCAACTGTTTCTGTGAAGAGCACAATCTTATATATGTACTGCCTACTTTCCACCTTGATCCAGCCATTCCCAAGGTCACTGCACCAATCCAGCCCCATCACCTCACTTCCCGATTACAGCAACATTTCCCTAGGCAGAATCCTGGATTTACAAGGAAGCTTTCCTTGTTTTGATCACATCCCTCCCCTCTTCAGAAAGCAACCCTCCCTCCCACTTTGTCCCCAGTTGGGTCCAAAATAATAATCCCTAGATTTTGAGATCAGTGCCGAGGATTCCACCCCCTCTACCCCACAGAACTCAAGTCATCCATCCCCCTGCCTCTGCCCTGCTGAGGAGCCTCACCGCCCTTTGGTTGGCTGGACACACACACACACACACACACACACACACAGACCATCACTGGGCATGGACTGGATGCCTTCTAGACAGAGTGATGAAGAACCAGGACCTAGACAGTGCTGCTGAGCTTGGCCCCAAAGGCAGGAAAGGAAGACCTGTTAACCACATGGGCGTACTTGCATGCACTGATGCAGAGTGAAGGGAGCAGCACCAGGAGAACTACCCAACGGCAGTAATAAGGGAAAGGCAAGGCCCATCGCCAGACTTCAGAGTGCCATCTATGACGTGCCCAGTGAAGATGAAGAAGTAAGTGGGAGTCTCTAACCCAGTTCTTCATCTGATATTTCTTTGTTACAAGAGAGAGTTGGGAACAGTCACTGTGGTAGGGATATCAGCAAAAGAATAACAATAAAACCTAAAAAACCCAGGTCATTGCCAGGCCCTGAGGAGACTATGCAGGAGGAAATAAACACAAAAACAGACTGTCCCCGCAGACCTTATCTCTTTTGAGTCTCTGAGGTACAAGCTAGTTCTCTCAGAATTTAATATGTGGGGAAACTGAGGCAAAGGATGATGGTGAAGTGACTTTCTTGTAAAATGGGGAGAGGACTAGACTAGCTGGATTCCAGATCTATGTTACAGTGATGGCCAGCTTCCTGCACAGTTTGCTGAATGAACTAGCCCTGGGCATCCGTCCCCACTTAGGTCAATGGATGTGCTTTGATTTAGCCAGAGGAGGACTTGGCTGCTGCAGGAAGGACGTTAGTTGGCCACTTCTGGATACTTGCTTCTTTCCCTCCCTCTGTGCCAGCCATGAGGGACAGCCTAGCCTTTCAGCCTTGAATTAGAAGGCTTGCCCAGGCCTTGTTTGGGGCATAGGCTGACAGCAGCGACAAGCTGCTCAAATAAGGGAACCTGACCCCCTTGCCATGTGGTGGGTGGAATAAAAGGAGATGATGTCATGGCCTGAGCGGCTAGAGGGGGGAGGGATCGACCTTCAAGGCCACCTGGTCCCACCAACCCTTTCCTAGTACAGAAAAAGAAAATGAAGCCAGGAGAGGGGAAAGCACCTGCCCAGCGTCTCCAGGCTCTGATCAGCAAAGGATATCACACCTGCGTGTGAAAACACACACACACACACACACACACACACACACACACACACACACACACGTGCGCAAAGCGCAGTGTTTTGCAAACCTTAAAGTGCTATCTGACTTCTGGGAGGAGAGGGGAGATGCAAGCGCAGGTGTTGATTCTGAGTCCAGGGATCCTTCTAAATATTACAACAACAGTGATGATGAGGGCCGCCAAGAGGCAGCATGACACAGTGGAGACAGTTCTGGCCTTGGAGCCAATGATCAGCCAGTTAATCCACCCCCTCCCCCCACATGTATTAAGTGCCTCCTATGTGCCAGACCCTAAGCTAGGCAGGGGATACTAGAAGACCAGGGTCCCACCTCTGACACATATTGGCTGTGTGACCCAGGGCAAATCAC